TCACCTTCAATTTTAAAACGGAATAGTTAATATTTCTCCCCGAATTCGGATAAGGCGTTGGATTCTACATAAAAAAGTATTATACCAAATGGGGTCTAAAATACATAGTTATTGAGATATTACCAAAAATCTCAGTAACTATATATTTTAGACCCTATTGTAATACTTTTTTATGTAAAATTCAACGCCTTATCTGAATTCGGGAAGAAGTATTAACTGTTCGATTTAAAAAAATTGAAGATGAACTTTATATCTTGATAAAAAAGCAAAATAACATAAAAGTTTTTTATGTAAAATTCAACGCTTTATCCGAATAAAATTGCTTTATCCGAATTTATCCTACCCTTTGGGAAGAAATATTAATTATACCATTTAAAAAATTCAAGGTGATCATATCTTGATAAAAAAAGCAAAATAAAACTGACTACAATACTATATATCCCACTGGAAGCCATGCAACTTCATTTTTTCGTACAAATATTTTATGAGTTATTTGATGTCGTCACGTTACGAGACTCACTGTATATTCTTTTTCTATTGAAAATACTCACTTGATTCTTTTACGCTCCGATAAATAAAACACTTTTAGAAATTCGTCGTCGCAGCCAATGAAATAATTTTCTCGATACGATATATGAAAAGTTTCGTCTTACTCGATCAAAAAATTATAATCCCGTTACCACACCAATGTTATTAGATTCTTCGGAAAAGATACCCTAAAATTTGGTTCTATTGGTCGATAAAATCGAAATCAGATCTCGTATCGGTGAAACGACAAAAATCTGGTCAAGATCGATCCTCCTCCGATCCAAGGAGCCAAGTGTGTTCGACCACCTTAGCCGATGTTAAGGATTAAAGGTTCGATGGAAAGCAATCAATCGTAACGCAATGGGCAAGCAAGTACGAAAGAAACGGGGATAGAGGGAATGAGAGAGAGGGAGACAGAGAGAGAGAGGACGCGGCTGGCCGTCCAAGTTCCTCCATGGAAAGAAATCCGGTGCCGTGATTACCGGGCAGACACGATCGAGGAATTGGAATCACGCTTGAACACGGTAGGGCCGTTCTTTCTAATCCGCGACGAGACAAGAACCGGTCGATAAACGCGCTATATATCAGAGGCCTCGAGTGCGCCGACGGGATGAGAAAGCTGAAAGGGCTGCCGGTAGAAAAAAGAAAAAAGGAAAAAAAAAAGAAGGAAAGAAAGAAAGAAAGAAAAAACGAGCCGGGGAAAATCTGCAGGCGTTTGCCCTATTTAACCCTTTCGACAGAAATTTTTTCATATTTCGCACTACCGTCGTCCTATCTTTGCACGAAACGCATAGAATTCGAAGAGATCAACGGAAGCGGATTGGAGATGGAGGCTGGAAAGCTGGAACATCTGAAATTCGAATTGGAAAAAGGATCGAGCGCGAGCCGAGTCGAGTAGACTCTCGGTGTGTGTCGCTTCGTCATCCGTGCGGTACTCTTCCGGTAACTAGATTATCGGAGCAAGGTTCAAGAGGAATTTCATTCGGCGGAAGGAGAATAGCCCGACGTTGTGGTACTCGAAGAAATTGCCTATGCTCGATTCCGAGTACCTGGTTCAAAACGTTTTTCAATGTTTTATTCAGGTATCGGGCGATCGCGTGAAATCGTCGATTTGGAATTTGATATTTTGTCGAGGTACAAACGGGCTCCAATGAAATTCGATGCATTTGCATTTACATAAACTGCTTGGTAACTCCGGCGAGTATTAAATAACAATGAACACGCATGTGGGTGTTCGAATATATTCACATGCATTGATCAAGAAATTAAATTCAACTTTTTTACACGAACTTAACGTGTCCTTCGTTTGTTTTCTCTTTTGTCAAAACATTTTAACGAAATTTTAAATAATAATGGCAAAATTGTATCAACTATAGTCAGTCACGAAAGTCTACATACTTCTATTAAATGTCAAACATATAAAACAAAAAAAGGACGGTTTTAATCATTTCATGTATTTTATTAGCTAAACTTAGTTTCTTATATTTGTACGAAAGAATGTATAAACAAATCGAAAACATAAGATATTTTATGAAATATATAAATATTTATAATTTATAAATATTCCGTATACTACGAACCTTTATATTTAAATAAACCAAGATCTCTTCTAATAATAATTATAATTAGACTGTAAATGTTTATGTAAATTTAAATGTTTATCATTGAGATATAATGTTATATAATACTGTACTTTTGACATTTTGTATGTTTTTATATAGTACATATGTAACTATAAATCTATAATTATTGCAACTTTAAATTTGCCGCAAATGCATAAAAATCCGCAGTCCAATTTAAGTAATAATAAGAATACATTATGCAGATTTTAATGTATCGATGGTAATTGTATAATAGAATAAATTACTTGATTTTTCTTTTAGCAAATAAATCCTTCTGATTTATTTATTAGAAAAGTATAAAACACATCGTCATTTTTTCAGTACAACTAATAAATATTTTTCCCCAAATATTTGAAATTTCACGAATCTCGCTCAAAAGTCTCAAGACACTTCTTATTTTTAATATTCAGCGTTTATCGTTGATAATCACATTTTATAATATAATTAGTAATATATTCTTTGTTGCATAAACTACCATTTTATTGTATAATTTATTGAGGTAAATGTAATATTTGACCGGGGATGTATGTAAATTTCCCGCAGACTAATTGTAGAATCTCCTACAACAGCATCGAAAACTACAAACCTCTCTCAGAAAGCAGAACACTCTCTTAAATTTCACGGGAAACAAATGCATGGAAACAGCGTGGTCCGTTTCGATTTAAACATCAATCGGTTCGGTGGGGGAGGGGGGAGAAGGAAGGAAAAAAAGACGGATAGCAGAGATAGACTATAGTGAATGAACGGAACGGATTAAACGAGCCGAGAAATCAGGTGAAAGGTTGAGATACAAATGGATGCGTCTGAGAACAGCAGCCGGCAAGGCTGAAAGAGCCCAGGGCTCGTGACTGCTCTCGTGTTTTCACGAGAAAAAAAGATGCGAAACGGTTTATTCTCAGCTGGCGCGTATTTTCTTTTGGATCGAGACGCAGTAGCGTTCCTCCAGAGAGGATGCATTATTTCTCATTGCGACGATGCGGATCGATAATGTTCGTCTCGTTTATACAGAAGGCCCTGTGTGGCAGACACTCGTTCCGTGAACATTGTGATGCAACGCGTTGTGACTGATTGTCCTTCGTTCAACTGAAAAGCCTTTGTCACCGTACACGCTCTTTGCTGAATGCATCAGCTTCCGGAGACGTGCAATCTCAGGCGCGGTAAACCGAAAACGAAAGAGTAATCGACGCGCCCGTTCAATTTATACGTTCTGCTACAATTTCTGCTACTCGTTCCATAAATTATGATAATATATCATTCGTTCGTGGGTATGACTTAACCCTTTAACAAAATTCTGTAACTTTGAAGTTACATATGTATATAGTGCATATGTACTATATGTATAGTGTAATAATTATAATTTTTTTTTTAGTTATATATGTACTATATAGTGCAATAATTATAGATTTATAGTTACATATGTACTATATATAGTGCAATAATTATAGATTTATAGTTACATATGTACTATATATAGTGCAATAATTATAGATTTATAGTTACATATGTACTATATATAGTGCAATAATTATAGATTTATAGTTACATATGTACTATATATAGTGCAATAATTATAGATTTATAGTTACATATGTACTATACAGTGCAATAATTATAGATTTATAGTTACATATGTACTATATAATGCAATAATTACAGATTTATAGTTACATATATACTATATAGTGCAATAATTATAGATTTATAGTTACATATGTACTATTATAGTTACATATGTACTATATAGTGCAATAATTATAAATTTATAGTTACATATGTACTATATAGTGCAATAATTATAGATTTATAGTTACATATGTACTATATAGTGCAATAATTACAGATTTATAGTTACATATATACTATATAATGCAATAATTATAGATTTATAGTTACATATGTACTATTATAGTTACATATGTACTATATAGTGCAATAATTATAAATTTATAGTTACATATGTACTATATAGTGCAATAATTATAGATTTATAGTTACATATGTACTATATAGTGCAATAATTATAGATTTCACATAAATCTATATAATTCTTCATTGCCGTTAGTAAGATAAACAAAAACTACACGTGCAGAAACATTTTGTACAAGATTAATTTACAGAATGGTACAAAGTTATGAATGTTTTTTATTTGGCTGTAACAAGAAATATTCAGTTGATTCAGCTATGTTCTACGTCACATGACCAAAATTATGTCACCTATTATTACGTACAATTTAACGAACCATTTATTTATATGTATAACTTTGATGTTTCAACGAAATATGTATGCGAAAATGCCATCTTAAAAGAGACATTTAATAATTATTAATAATTCGAGTCGAAAAAATGGATTGTGAAAAACATTGTACAAAACTGTAATTATACAAAATATTTCTGTTATGTTCATTCTTTGTCCATCTTAATATTAATGGTAATAACAATTGATTTATACAAAATCTACGATTAGTGATATGCTTTTCTGCTCCATTGTATCTAAATTTTGAAAATACTTACTGCTTCATTAAATAGACTATTACAAAAATATCAGATATGTAAGAATAACAATTATTAATTCTTAATAATTAATGATATAATAATTTTCTCAGATTTTTAATAAGAGTAAATAGTTACAATTAACGAATGTAAGTAACAGAAATTCTGATTATAGATGGTTAAATTTTAAGAAATTTCTATCGGAGCCCTATTGAAAACATACTTGAGATATTTCGCCTTTTCTGTATTACAAGTATCTATTATTCAATTTCAAGATACAAAAATGCATAGAAAAATAAATGTCAAATATTCCAAACACGTATGATATTCTAAATATTATAACATGTAATAGTCCTATCATTTCAATTAATTTTATAAAAATACGAAATTACATAAACATTCCCTGTCTGTTTTCAAAAGCTTCAATTCCATTACCGAGTATTTTAGTTACCGTTGAAACTTATCGGTGATCAACCCCGAGTTAGTTGATTTTAATATCAAATTTGATAAGTCGATTTCTCAGACAAGAACTCTCTCTTCGTACAACGACGAGGTAAAGTAAACCAAGACTCTCCACCCAAAGAAGAGATACAATGACCCGTTTCGAAGACTGACCGAACTAGATTGTTGGAGTCTGCTGGCTCGCCGTAGAAAATCCAAGAATTACTGTTAACTGTAAGTGGAGTTACTGTCCAATGAATTTATAGGGGCTGGCTTAATTTCAAGCGTCAGCTTAACTCGCGGCGGAGGGTAAATTAGATAGAAGAAGACAGCTCTCTTCCATAATTTAAAGCGAAGAACTCTACGTTTACTCCGATGCTTTAATTTCAACCACTCGGCGCGCGTTCTTCGGCAAAGGAAGATTGAGAGTCCGTTGATCGAGATTACGGGCTAACCGTTGCCTCAAGTCTTCTGCTACTTTTCTATAGAAAAAAATGGCACGGATAAAGACGTGGAAAATCGCTGCTCTGTTCCACTTATTATACTTTTGTTTAACCCTTTGCACTGTATAAATAATCTTATAATCAATAATAAAATAACTGGTTTACTTATTGGAGGTTCAAAGAGAATAAAATAAATATTAGAATATATTAAATTAAATATATCAAAATGTATACGTTTAGAGATGACTGAATTTGTTATATGCTTCTTATCCAATATTAAACTTTTATATTTTTGATAATTTTAAAGCACTCAAAAAGTTAAAACAAAGGATGTTGATAATTCTCAGCAAAATTGAAGAAATTTTGTACAACGTATGTTTTAGAAGTAAATGAGATAATTATGTTAGATGCTGTGATACAGAAATGTAAACTCTCTTTCAGAAAAATAAAACTTATAAAAATAACAAAATGTAAGTAATTTTCTTGGAAAAATATATTATTTTATTTGAAATATGTTCTTTTTGCAGAAAAAAGATCGTACGTACAAAAAAAGCATCAGATAATGGAATGCCATTAAGGATCCATGTTATAGTTTTTTGAATGTATTATATGCTATCAAAACGCTTCCATTTATGGCTGTTTTGATTCTTAGAAATAAGAAATAACGGGCAAAGAATTCATATGATTAGTTCAGTTTTTCTGCGAAAAAAAAAAAAAAAAAAAAGAAAACAGTAACAGCGGACGGATAGTGTGAAATACATTTTATATGTATACAAAAACTAGAGTTAGCCTAAATGCTATTTCACCTTAAATTCTTCTCTTAATAATATCATTAAACAAGACAAATGAAGGCTATATTTCTCGATGATAAAATTTTATTATACATATTGCTATTAATTTCTTTATATTATAGATAAACTTTGAAGATGTTAGAATTTAAAAAAATAATAATAATAATCCTTAAATAAATGAACATTATTATTTATAAAGTATTAAAATTGTAATTGATTGTATTAGAATTAAAATTCGTAATTCCAACATATTCTTAATAGAACCTCCTATATCCATTAATAGAGAAACAAAAATGTTTCATTAGTGAAGTTTTCAAATACATAATAAAACAACCATTTTTCTGATATTAAATTGCATATATCCAGATCCAAAAAATTGTCAATTGAATTGTTAATTCAATATTTAAAAATCTTATATTCTTTGGACTGCTCAGTTACCTAATCTCTTTAATTGTAGAATTATACTTCTCAAAACAAATTAAAGTTCTCCTCTAAATGCCTTGAATGTTGTGGCATAAGAAGACACGTGGTTATCATTTTTGTTTACTGTTTCAGTTTGCGAAAAAGTTATGTCTAAAATATCTTTGTCAGTCATAAAATATCGATTTATCACAAAATTGAAAAAATTTCTTTTCTTTCAGTAAAATTTCGTACCTCATATTTAGCAAATTGTTTTGTAATTATAAAAAATATATGACAAAATACATAAAACAAATTATCACAAAAAAAAGCATCTATTACTAATAAATATACTGTTCGGACAGTAAAACATTCCAATGTTAAAATATTCAAATAATAGCGGTTCAAACAAATTTTTAAAATATACGAAAAAATTTATTTCATTCAAAAAAAGCAAACGATATTCAAAATTTCTAAACGATGATATACGCGCTAGTTTTTAATAGTCATAATTTTTTTGATTTGAGATACTTACCAAAATCTCCAATTACAGCGTTTTCGATCCATAATTTTTCCGATTGATATCTACAACAAAAATAAGATCACTTATGTTTATTATATTAATGCTAGCATAAAAAATAAAATTATTCGATTGAAAATTCCTTTTTATCTCTGCTACGAGTTTATTAATTGCTTCTGTTAATTGTTCTGATCAAAGAGCTTGGATACGAAAGATTCCTTTTGTACGAGTTTCATCATACTGGATATTTATTTATTCCTGAATGGATATTCATCGGGGAACCAATACTTTTATCGAATAAATAAATCATCTGTTAGAAGCAGTGTCAATATTTCAAATTAATATATTAATATATTATATAATATATTACATATTATATGTAATATTTATAATATATATTATTATATAACATTTATAATATATATTATAATTACATATAATAAAACATGTATATTTGATATATATTAATATATTAATATAGACCAAATATATATAATTTGGTATATATATAATTAATATATTATATATATTGTATATATATATAATTAATATATTAATTACCACACTATGCCTGTCGGAAGTAGAAGAAGAAAGAATAGTGGAAACATATGCCAATCATTCTTCTTAGTATGCGTACGAATTGCAAATACTAATACCCCCTTTCAAGATGTGCGCTCGTTAATTACGCTCGCAATCTCTTCAACTTTTTCAGGACGGTTGAAGTACATCTACAGTTGTTTGTGACGCCAAGTGACGTTTCTCAAAATGTTGATATTCTGATGCATACGCATATTTTTACAGTTATTAAAAGTTATTAACGAGGATAGGACGATCACTATCACTTATGAAGTACACATTATCAGTTTTTGTTCAAGTTCTTTTATTTGTAATTAGAAATATAAATATCATTTATTATTTATTATGTATCATAATAATAAAATAATAAAAGCAAATAAGTTTCCTAACAAATCTAATATGTTTTGTAAGTGTCAAATATTTTTTATGTGTGGAAACATGGATCTACGCAAAGTGCAACATTGCACTTTGTACACACATGTATAAAGATTTCCTTTTTCCTTTGCTTGTGCCCTAATGTTGTGACTGCATACATAACATCTGGAAAATGTTTCTCTATCAAATTCATAAAACTGGTTGAAAATGTCTCTTTATCAATTTCCAAGGATTATTAGAAGTTGGAATTTGGCTTTCATAATTTTAAGTTTGATGAAAATTTTCAATGAATTGATCGGAAATTTTCAAACATTTAATTGTATTTTATTTTTACTGCCAGTTCGTATATAGGATATAGATATCATAAATTGCGATATCCAAAAAATGAAAAAATAAATTTTTTTACTATTTTAGAATTTTTCGTATAACGCTTGCAAAACTGATTTTCACATTGATTATATCTATTGCTGCTCCCATTTATTTTTATTAAAGTACGTAATTTATTTATTCAAGTACGATTTTAAAATTTCTTCTCTTGCTTTTCGATTTAAAATTTATTTCACATGTTATGTGAAATGTTGTCAACATGCATATGTATCTTTCGTCATATTTTTTACTGCTGCATAATATATTTTCTGTGTTTGTTATTTCGCATTTTTCTTTATTCAATTTTCACTTTTACACAGTATTATTTCACTTTTTCACGTAGTATTATTGAAAGAAATGTGGATTAGTGTCTAGTGACCAATTGTCAACATAGAGAACATGATTTTTATCTAAATATGATATTTATAGAAATATAATTGACCCTTTATTCAATTCAGTTTCACATCGATAAAATTCAATTATTTTTATTCCGAATCTACTCTTTTTAGCGTAAACAAATTATTTAAAATCTAATTTCTCTTTCTACAACAATAAGCTTTCATCAATATCTTGAAACGAACCACAGAATTCTGTTTTCAAATGATATATTACTGGTTTTATTTTTTTTTAAAGCGATTAGCTTAATTTATATCATTTCTTGTATTATCTACAAAATATAAATTTATATTAAATTTAAAAATCTACTAAACACTCTTAAAAAAGAAGTTTCTATCATTCGTGAACCAATAATTTATCATTTCTTCTTTCAACAAATCCTATCAAAGTAGAAATTGAAAGAAATCTATGAAATATTTTTCTATTTGTGTTTTGCCAATTCGAATTACATTTCTTTTGCTCTTACATATGGATAGCATATTGATTTGTTTCTTTTTCTGTGAGATTTAACAAATTTTCTTCAAAATAAAATAAAAAATAATTGAGCTCGATAATATCTTCCTCCAAAGCACATGATTCGCAGTTAATATTGTCGAAAAAAATTTTTTTTGAAACAGAATATTATCATATTTCCATTTGAATTCAGAAACCACTTGTATATTTTTCCTTTATTGATTGCCAACTCATTTTCAGTTATAATACTGCTATTATTATTTTTATTTAAACTATTTTCTTCTTTGCTTGAAGAATAGTAATAAGTAATTTAATTAGAATCCTATGAATCTTCCACAATAGCAATCGTTAAAAAAGAATAAAAAATAAACTAGGATAACAATTCAAATTATAATTGACATAATTGTCAATTGTAAACAAGTTAATACCCATCTCATTTAAACAAAAATAATGCCCATCTTTAGATAAAGAATTCCCAAGAACATCAGTTAATATATGATTCGGTAAGTTTAATTTATTACGATAAGATTAGACATGATTAGATAGGATTAGAAATTCAAGAAATTTCTCCTTATCCTTGCGTGTGATGCAATTACTATTTAAGTACCTCCATGCACTGAATCCATGATTATCGTATATGCATTATTGGTCTCATTTGCATTATCATCTCCATATGCATTATCTATCTCTACAGAATCCAGATAAAATATCTCCTGCATTGAACTTGCACGTGATCTATTAGCATATTCTCTTTTTACATAACATTCAAAGGCCTTGGCTTGCCACAATGGAAACATTTTATTAATAACTTTTTTAATAATTAATAAAATTAATAATTAATAATTAATGCAACATTTTATTAATTATTTAATATTTACACTGTTGCCATGTTGATTATGATTCTTTCTTCTTCTTTCATTCTTTCATGTTCAATCGCCATTGTACCTGATTCATCATTACGCTTTTGCTTCCTCGCCACAAATTATTTTAAAATTTTTATCTTCAATGTCTCGAGATTAGGGAGCTCGTAGCGTATCTAAAATTCTTACATGTATTAGGTAGATTTAACAGCATTTGCAAATTTTTATGAATTGTTATATCCATTTCATTTAGTTTATCTATTATAGTTTATTATATTTATTTATATTTTAGTTTTTTATATTTAGTTTATTATAGTTTATTATATTTATTTATATTTTAGTTTTTTATATTTAGTTTATTATAGTTTATTATATTTACTTATATTTTAGTTTTTTATATTTAGTTTATTATAGTTTATTATATTTACTTATATTTTAGTTTTTTATGTTTAGTTTATTATAGTTTATTACATTTAGTTTATCTATAACTTCTATAAAAGTATTTGTATATTTATCGACTTTTGAGCAGCAACTTCTCATACTAGAGCTGCTTGTGGTTGTGTCAATTCCCAATGAAATCGTTTATTTTTATTTAGTAGAATCTTCTATCTGTATACTTCATGTATCACAATTATTAACAATCACATTTCTCAGACTCGCGCTCATCGTGCCATATGCTGATATTTAATCTCACATTTATTACACTTTTTATTATCTTTCGATCATTCTTTATATATACATATTTGCTTTTTGTTTATGTTTAATATTTGCTCTTATTTATGTATATTACTGTTAAATAAAGTGTCACAAATTAATATATTACTGTAGCAAGCGTTCGCACACCATATTCTCCCTACGCCTGCCGGACACAGAAGAACAAATAAGGAAATAGCAGAAACACATACAACGCGCGCGAATTGGAAACATCATCTTTCGTACAATTATGTTTTTAAACAGCACCCGGAATTGTATTCGCTATCAATAATTTCTTTGCATCAAAAGTGATAAACTACCATTTCGTAATGTTATTTAATTAACAACGAAAAAACGCACTTAATTTCAATTTAACAACGAATCTCGTGATTGTTGCATTATCTATTCAACGACAGGATTCATTAACGGGAGATGAATGACATCAACGATCCTTTATATTTAAATAATTTCGCACACCCGCTGAGATTTGTAACTACCTCATAAATATCAATGGGAGTGAAATCGTGTTCAAGTTCTATTAACGATGCTCGCGTGCAATTTTCATATCCAAAGAGTCTTATTGTCGATTTTATTAAATATTTTCATTAAACAGCATTAAAAGAAAACAAAGCTGGTCAAAACAACGCATACTTACTTGCCAATGTCAACGATGTCCCGTTACACTTAATCAATAATGCTGAAATATGTAATCCACAATCAAATATATTTGATTTTATTTCGTAAAAATTTTTTCAACGATCAACCATAGTTAATTCTGAATGATATCATTAAGAATTATCACAATTTGGAGTTAAATTATTTAACTTTGAAATTTTCAATTTAATCTTATTTTATTGCTAATTTCTATGAACAAATATAAAATGTAAAATACAAAATAAAATTAAATACTTCAAATTTTAGTTATTTACAAATTATGATATTTCTATAATTATGTATTACATTTTATATTTTGTTATTTTATGTTTTATTTTATATTATATTTTTATATTATTTATATTACATTTTTATTTTATTCTATATTATATTTTATATTTTAACTTACATCATACTTTATAATACATGTTATAGTTCTTGTATAATATACATAATATTACATATTAAAGTATTCAATGACACTATTTGAGTTAATTATTAATATTAATATTAATAATAACTTATGATTATCGATACAACTTTGATTTAACTCGTTTATTAATTGTTAACGTTAATTATAACAAAACACGATGTTAAAGAAAGAACAAAACAGTTCACAAGTATTAAGAGGAAAACGATCAAAACTTATCACTAACGTTATCGCTGTATATCTTTGTGAATTTAAATTGAAT